AGATAGATAGATAGATAGATAGATAGATAGATAGATAGATAGGAGATAGATAGATAGATAGATGAAAGATAGATAGATAGATAGATAGATAGATAGATGAAAGATAGATAGATAGATAGATAGATAGATGAAAGATAGATAGATAGATGAAAGATAGATAGATGAAAGATAGATAGATTAAAGATAGATAGATAGATAGATAGATAGATAGATAGATAGATAGATAGATAGATAGATAGATAGATAGATAGATAGATAGATAAATAGATAGATAGATAGATAGATAGATAGATAGATAGATAGATAGATAGATGAAAGATAGATAGATAGATAGATAGATAGATAGATAGATAGATAGATAGATAGATTAAAGATAGATAGATAGATAGATAGATAGATAGATAGATAGATAGATGAAAGATAGATAGATAGATAAAAGATAGATAGATAGATAACAGAATAGATAATAATGAAGTCAGCGTTGCCGCCATGTCACGTACCTTTCTCGGTGGCGGCGCCGGGGGGATTCACCGGCTTGGCTTTGTCGTAGTTGTTAAAGCTGTGACTGCGCCTGCTCCCAGGGGCCGGGCCCCGTGTTTTGGCCTCGCTGCCTGCAGCAGATGTCCTGGTACTGGGGCCGGGGAGCCTGCATAGGGTGAGAAGACAGAAGATGAGGGGCCGGGCCGATGACCATGTGCGGAATACACGTCCACACACCGCGGGAGACGATTTGCAGCGGCGGGATGGAAACTTTTACCAAAGATAAATATTATTTCTATAATGTTATCATAGCGGAGAGGAACCCGAGCCTGCCACTCATCACACACACACAGCTACCGAACATGGACACGGGGACACGAGGAGACTACGGCCGCTGCCTACACTGACCAATCCCGTTGCGTCTTTTGCTACGTATGCTGGCTAGAGAAAGTCCAACGGGGAATCTGATTGGCTGCTCCGGTGACACAACTTTCATTAACCACTTCAAGACCAGGTGTTTAGACCCCCTTCCTGGCCAGGCCATTTTTCAGTGTTCAGCGCAAATGACTGCTCATGTATCTTATATGAAGTGAGATCATACAACGTCCGCTCCCCCAGCAGCACATACTCACCTTTCCTGTCCTTCACTCCCTGGTCACATGTTCAGAAGTAAAGAGGAAAATACCCGGAGGGGAATTGATCAGAACTGGAGCAGACAAAATCTGGAGCAGCCGTGCATGGCGACCAATCAGCTTCTCTCTTTCATCTTCAAATCTTAACAGAACACGCTGAAGAGAGAAGCTGGTTTTGTCTGCTCCAGTCTTGATAAATCCCCTCCCCCCCCTCTCCCAGTACTTCCAGGTACGGTGGAACATGTGACAGTGCTGGTGCTTTCTGATTGGCCCAACTCTATTGGTCAGGGTGAGGAGGCAGACACCACCTTTTCTTCTCTCCTTTTAATTGCACATGTGACGGAAGATTTGAAGGCTCGCTGGAGAAGAACATCTGTTTTTTCAGAACCCGGCGAGGCTGTAAAATCTCCAGAACCGTCTTTGATGTACAGAGACACGAAGATGCGCGGTCCGCTTGTCTTGGAGTAACCCGGATCGAATTTTACAAGTCATGAGAGCGTCTTGCTGCGGCGGCCGAGACAAACGCGGCAGCAAAACATTACCAAAGTGATATGGTGTGCTGCTTCCAAGCCCATCATGGACGATTGGGCACTGAATGCCACCAGGGGCTCATCCTACACCCAACAGACCATCTGCACTGTGAAGAAAATGCATGCTGGTAACTTGATTCATCCGGACAACATGAGCAGAGAGACTCCCACCTCTGACTTCCTTCACCAACGCATTTCACCCACAAGAGGTCCTCTACGATTAAGCTCAGATATGTAGGTGAAATGCTTCAGAGTTGGAGGACCCAGGCAGGGACTCTGTTCATGTTGTCTGGATAAATAAAGTTACCAGCTTTTTAAATTTCTTCGGACCACAGCTGGTCTTTTCCATTAGAATGGCAAAACAAAAAGCATTTCAATTCACTGATCACTGGGGCTGCAGCTAACGATTATTTTCATAATCGATTAGTTACCCGATAATTTTTTCAACTAACCGATTGGTTGTATAAAAAAAATTCTCTCTACCCCCCCAACTAATCGACGATGAGAATAGTTGCCAACTATTCTCATCGTCGATTAGTTGTTGCAGCTCTACTTATCACTATACTACTCCTATGATAGGTTGGGAAACACTACAGATGGGAGATGGAGGTTGAAAGATCCGACTACAAAAACAACAAGAGGTACATTTATAGAACTTTCAACCAAACTGTACACTGGGCAAATGCCGTTCGCATGCCGTTTCTGCCACTAGATGGAACTGGCTCCATCTAGGAGGTGGCCATGGGAATTTCCTATGCTCCTCGGCTCCATCGAGGGGTGGGAATGGGAATTTCCTATGCTCAGCTCCATCTAGTGGTGGTAATGGGAATTTCCTATGCTCCTGGGCTCCATCTAGTGGTGGTAATGGGAATTTCCTATGCTCCTGGGCTCCATCTAGTGGAGGGAGTGGGAATTTCCTATACTCCTCAGCTCCATCTAGTGGTGGGGAATGGGAATTTCCTATCCTCCTTGGCTCCATCTAGTGGCGGGGAATGGGAATTTCCTATCCTCCTTGGCTCCATCTAGTGGCGGGGAATGGGAATTTCCTATCCTCCTTGGCTCCATCTAGTGGCGGGGAATGGGAATTTCCTATCCTCCTTGGCTCCATCTAGTGGCGGGGAATGGGAATTTCCTATCCTCCTTGGCTCCATCTAGTGGCGGGGAATGGGAATTTCCTATCCTCCTTGGCTCCATCTAGTGGCGGGGAATGGGAATTTCCTATCCTCCTTGGCTCCATCTAGTGGCGGGGAATGGGAATTTCCTATCCTCCTTGGCTCCATCTAGTGGCGGGGAATGGGAATTTCCTATCCTCCTTGGCTCCATCTAGTGGCGGGGAATGGGAATTTCCTATCCTCCTTGGCTCCATCTAGTGGCGGGGAATGGGAATTTCCTATCCTCCTTGGCTCCATCTAGTGGCGGGGAATGGGAATTTCCTATCCTCCTTGGCTCCATCTAGTGGCGGGGAATGGGAATTTCCTATCCTCCTTGGCTCCATCTAGTGGCGGGGAATGGGAATTTCCTATCCTCCTTGGCTCCATCTAGTGGCGGGGAATGGGAATTTCCTATCCTCCTTGGCTCCATCTAGTGGCGGGGAATGGGAATTTCCTATCCTCCTTGGCTCCATCTAGTGGCGGGGAATGGGAATTTCCTATCCTCCTTGGCTCCATCTAGTGGCGGGGAATGGGAATTTCCTATCCTCCTTGGCTCCATCTAGTGGCGGGGAATGGGAATTTCCTATCCTCCTTGGCTCCATCTAGTGGCGGGGAATGGGAATTTCCTATCCTCCTTGGCTCCATCTAGTGGCGGGGAATGGGAATTTCCTATCCTCCTTGGCTCCATCTAGTGGCGGGGAATGGGAATTTCCTATCCTCCTTGGCTCCATCTAGTGGCGGGGAATGGGAATTTCCTATCCTCCTTGGCTCCATCTAGTGGCGGGGAATGGGAATTTCCTATGCTCTTCAGCTCCATCTAGTGGTGGGGAATGGGAATTTCCTACGCCCCTTGGCTCCATCTAGTGGTGGGAATGGGAATTTCCTATCCTCCTTGGCTCCATCTAGTGGCAGAAAAGGCAAGGAATGGATTTCGCCCAGCATATGGCTGAGTGGAAGTTTTATAAATCAACCCCCAAGTGTTCATCTGGCAGTCATATTTTGTACTATCCAACAGCCAAATCCATTGGGTGTTCAAATAAAAAAGTCATCCCTGCAATACTTACCTCCTCTCTGGTGCTGTTCCACCGCAGTAACTCCTCTCCGTCACTAGATAACCTCAGTTTTCCAGGTTGAAAGACACCCAGTATCATTCAACCTGGAAGACTGAGAACATCCTGTGAGTACAGGGTATCATGGACCCTCCTACTGAGGAGTGTCACCGAGTCACATAATGATGCAAAGAGGTGCTGATGAAGGCAAAGCGGCTCTATGCATCATCGAAGACCACCCAGCGGCAAAGGAAGAGGACCCCGAGTGTCACATGACTGGTCTAAAGACATCTGAAAAAGGTAAGTATAAAATAAAGCATAAAAATGATTGGAGGGGCAAATCGGGGGGCAGAACCCAAGGTTGGGCTTTAAGGCTGTTGGTAGCTTTACCCCCTCGAGTGATTTTAACTCAGCAGTCTTTCAGCAAGGGTGTTGAAGGTTCGGTACTCTCTGTATACAGACAAAAGTATCTAGAGAACCAGATATAAAATATAACAATATAAAAGGAACAGAAAGAGTGTAACAAGTCACAACGCAAATGTTACATTAGTGTCTCACAATGTATAATTCCAGCGCAACGTTTCCCTTTAATGAGATTAAATCTATTAATATATTAATTCCAATCAATGCACAGCAAAGGTTACTGAGGGCGGCACTGCAGTCCGCTCGGTGAGGTTAGTTTGTGCATTAGTCCATCACACGGGCACACACTGACCGCGAGCATTTCCTCTGTCCCAGGGAGAAGCGCAGGAACTTGACCTCACTCGGGTCTTTGGAGGACGAACTGCACAGCGGGATGAAAATATACAAAAAGACAGAATGTATCAGAATAATGCCCAATGACACCTATAGACCTCTGTCACCGATACCTATAGATCACCTCCCGATCTACTGAGCCGACGTGTGACAGTCTCATTGTCACAGGTCGGCTAGAACTATGAGGTGAGTGAAAAGCATCCCCCCTCCCCCCCTCATAGTTCTCCTTTAAAGTAGAAGCTTTTTTACCTTCCCTGGTACGTCAAAACATGATAATTACATTTTTTAGGGATGCACCGATACCGAGTATTTGGGCGAGTACTCTGCCAAATGCTCCGATACCTTCTCCGATAACGGAAGATTTCCTCTGACCGGCAGTGCCGTAGAGGAACATGGAGCCGGCTTCCCGTGAGATCAGGAAGCTGGACGGCGAGTAATGACCCGCCTCCCAGCTTCCTGATTGGGCGAAACAGCCGGCTCGATGCTGATTGGCAAGGAAGTCGGCTTTTCCAGCCAATCAGCATCGAGCCGGGTCACTACTTGCCGCCTGCTGGGAAGCCTGCTCCATGCTGATTGGCTGGGAAACCAGTTTCCCAGCCAAGCACAATCAGAAGCTGGCCGCCAGACAACATGGAGCCGGCTTCTCGGGCAATCAGATTGCCCAGGAAGCCGGCTCCATGGCAGCGGAAGCATCGGTATCGACGAGTACCGAAAGCAAAGTATTGGTACTTGTACTTGATACCGAAAAACAGTATTGGTGCATCCCTAACATTTTTAGTCCTGGTTATGTCATCACTGTGCTTCTATACAATGCAGGCAGGTCATGGCTGGTGGGAGGAGTCAGCAGGGTGCTGTACATAGCTTCCTAAAGACATCACTGCCTCTGTACTCCTCTAAAGAGCCATCAGCCCTGATACAAGCACTGGGCGGGCTCTTGGGAGGAGTTATGCAAATATCAAAAGGCCTTGACGGGCAAATGTCATGACTGGAAAAGTGGGCACTCCTGGGCAGGCTTTAACCTTTCCCTACTCTAGAGGCATGCAGTGCAGCCATTGCGGGAGTGCATGTGGGCAGAAGAGGGCCGCAGGAAAAAAAATGAGTTCTATTCACTTCCTGTTGCGTCTCCAGGACAGGAAGTGTCGGGAAATCTACCCAAGGTGACACAGACAGCAAAGAAAACTGACAGGGGCAGGAAAGGATGAAAAAAAAACAAGGATTTTACATAAAACAACTGGCAATTGTTTATGATACGTGGTGCCTTAGCTAACTGTCATTCATTTGGGGTTTACATGTACGTTTAGATCAGATGCAATCTGATTTCTTATTGGCTGTGAGGGCTTTGTGTTGCTTCATTGAATGAATCCATACAGATACATTGTTATGTTCCTATTATTGAATCTTCTTCACGTATTGAACATCCCTGTGCGGGTCCCGGGCCGCTCTGACCTAAACAGAACTTTCCTCAGGAAGCGGATAAGGACGCATTTGATCCCACATCCCCCCCACCCCCCCCCCCTCGGCCTGCTCCCCGGCTCTATACCATGAATGTTTCCCTGGGAAGACTTGAAAAGAATCGGTTTTGTGTTACGCCGTCTCCTTTGCTCGGGGTAATCAGTTAATTGCACAATTTTTCACCACTACAAAGGCCGGCATTCTGTGCGATGACATGAGAACCTGCTCGGGGAACCCGTCATCGGTGGCGTGCCTGTGATCTCATCTCTTCATGTCAAGGTATTAATATCCATATGGGAGCGCGGAGAGTCCGCCTTCACCTTCCGGGACTAAAGTCCCATAACGGATCCTTATTACTCTTTATATCTCCGGGTTCAGGAGACAAGGTCACTGTCTGGGATCAGTCTGTGTGTCAGTAAAAGATCGTTTATTGTCTATAAAGCTATAAAAAGCGGGATGTTGACGTTTAAAGATAAAGTTTAAGTGTATATTGCCTTCCCTGGCTTCTCTATGCAATGCAGGAAGACGGCGGGTGGTGGGAGGGGTCAGCAGGATTCTGTACATGGGCTGGATTCTGGGAGGAGTTATGCAAATATCAAAATGTCTTAATGGTGGGATTTCAGTCTGGAGGGGTGGCATCCGACCATCACCCATCTGGAGGAATGACATCCACCCATCACCCATCTGGAGGAATGACATCCACCCCTCACCCATCTGGAGGAATGACATCCACCCCTCACTCATCTGGAGGAATGACATCCACCCCTCACCCAACTGGAGGAGTGGCATCCACCCATCGCCCATCTGGAGGAGTGACATCCACCCATCACCCATCTAGCGGAGCAGCATCCCCCCATCTGGAGGAGTGACATCCCCCCATCACCCATCTGGAGGAGTGACATCCACCCCTCACCCATCTGGAGGAATGACATCCACCCCTCACCCATCTGGAGGAATGACATCCACTCCTCACCCAACTGGAGGAGTGGCATCCACCCATCACCCAACTGGAGGAGTGGCATCCACCCATCACCCATCTGGAGGAGTGGCATCCACCCATCGCCCATCTGGAGGAGTGACATCCACCCATCACCCATCTGGAGGAGTGACATCCACCCATCACCCATCTGGAGGAGTGACATCCACCCATCACCCATCTGGAGGAGTGACATCCACCCATCACCCAACTGGAGCAGTGACATCCACCCCTCACCCATCTGGAGGAGTGGCATCCACCCATCACCCAACTGGAGCAGTGACATCCACCCCTCACCCATCTGGAGGAGTGGCATCCACCCATCACCCAACTGGAGCAGTGACATCCACCCATCACCCAACTGGAGGAGTGACATCCACCCTGCCTAGGTGGTGCGAGCAGGGCCACCCATGTGATTGAATTGCAGCCGATTCAGCAGGAACCTAGGATCCATGTAAGACCGGCTTTAGACTGATTGGTTGGTAGGGAAGGTGCTGCCCTAGAACTGAATAGGTAGATATGTGTTGCAGTTGCCCGGCCTTAGCATTGAATGGTCTCAGATATGGGCTCAGACAATACACAGCCCTGGGTGTCCCTGTGGAAGTTTCTAGAATGAGATACATTTTTACAGCCTGCGATAAAGATGGAGACCCCGTACCTGGAATGCATTTCCGACTGAGCTTTACTCTGTGACTGGGGAGGTTGCTGTGGTTGTTGGCACTGGACTGGAGCGGCTGAGTAGTTCTGGGCATGGAGGGTACCGGAGTGTTGATATGGCTGCTGGCACTGGCTTGGCGTTCCTGAATGCTGGGAGGCTGGAGGGGGCTGGTGATAACTTTGGGGTTTCTGTTGCTGCTGTTGCTGCTGTTTGAAGCGTGACAGGCTGAAGAACAGGCCCAGAATGGCCTTCAAATTCCCATTTCTGATCTCTGCAAGACAAAAAGACACGGGACATGACAACACTGCACAACGATACATCGCTAGACCTTCCAGTGCTGCCGACCAATCACATCTCCCCCTTTGTGTTTCTAGCACTGGAAATGATTACACTGCTGTAGAAACTTTTATTAACCGAGAACAAATAATAATATTAATAATAAAAGCGGAAACATCGGACGGTAAAAACTGATTAAACCTGCGATGTTGCAGCAGCACATTCTGGGGTTCTATACCCTTCAGGATATTATCTGCATGGAGTAGGTAGACTTGGCCTGTGTTTTCCTTCATGTGTCCCGGCTTCCTTGCGCAAATCATACAACAGGTAATGGGTGATGCTCCTACTGCCCCTGAGGATTGGAGCTTTTGCTCCCTCGGGTGGTAAGGCAGGAAGTGAGGTGACAATATGGTGATTGCTCCAACAAGTCCAGATATCTGGCAGTAGTAGACAAAGTGATGACATGACCACTGTTTTCTACCACCACCTGGGGGACCCTGGCATAGGACCAAAGTGTCCTCTGCCATGGACTCGGGCTGCCATCTTGCCATCATGTCCAAGTAGACAGAGTTCTCTCGAGATTTCTATAGCCATGAGAGGTTATATACACCGAGTGGGCGGATTATTATATACACCGAGTGGCCGGATTATTATATACACCGAGTGGCCGGATTATTATATACACCGAGTGGCCGGATTATTATATACACCGAGTGGCCGGATTATTATATACACCGAGTGGCCGGATTATTATATAAGGGGGGTCATAATAATCTGTCCGCTCAGTGTATAGCCCCTGCTGTGTTTCAGAGGGGCCCCTTGATGCAGGGAAATGTGGACGCAAGGGCAGCACTCCGCCTGTTATGGATAGAGATGCCTGACCCCCTCAGTTAAAAAAGGCTGGAGGCCCAGACCTGGAAGGAGCTGGTGGATTTCTAGGAGGATGTAGAAATCTGCGGCTGTACAGCTGACCAGCTGCTTGAAGGGTTATTAGAGAAAGGGGGTTCAACCTATCCACGCCTCCTGTATGTAAACGTACATCATCCCCCTGCATCATTGCTTGTTGTTGGGAAGTAAATAGGGATCCCCTGTTGTTGTAACTGCAGATTACTCTTATATAAAAAGCTTAAAAAAAGTTGTGTTGCCTGTTCACTTCCAACCTCAGTAAGCACCCACTACAAGCTGGCTTCCCCCCAAAACTCTCCTTATACATATACACATCGGTGTGACTGTGGCATGGAAATTAGATTGTCAGCTCTTTTGGAAAAGACACCACAGCGAGCAGTTGCATCTTCCTTGCTCCTTTCTATCTTTCTTGCAGCTTGGAGCGCTGGTTCACTTTAACCACATGGGTCTTATCGGTACATGGGTTTGGACGGCGCTGATGTAGGTCATTATATCTTCTATACATAAAGACTACCCGGGAGGAACACACACTGATAACATGAAACACGTGTGAAAGACGGCAACTCATCCATCCCATTACACCAACTCCCTTCTCCGGGGATCGGACTGCTGGAACCAACCCAGAGAATGCTGCACGATCAGCATGGAACGCTCTATGGGAATCTAAGGGAATGTTTTCTAGATATACATGTGAGATCAGATATGTATATATAATCTTAGATTGGTTGCCATGCAAATCTGCTCCAGTTTTGATAAATTCCCCCCATTGTGTTTTAGTGGTTCCTAACTTATAAGTTACATCTAGAAATGTTATTTGTGCCTAAGGAGTGCCATGAAAAATCTGCCGTTTGTCTGAAATTGCTCCAGGAAAATATCAACACACTTCCTGTGTCTAGGCATTCCTGTCATGTAGCTTCATAGCTGTATATCTGCAGTGTGAGATCATCTAAGGCACTGCTGCCTCTGACTGTTAAGGCCGTGACACACTGCACGCGAAGCCGTGCAGAGCGAAGCAAAGCCATCCGGCACGGAGCTTTGCGTGCAGTGTGTCAGCTGAGTGCAATCAGATGATTGACAGCTGGCTCTGCCTATCTAGAGGCAGAGCCAGCTGTACCCGCCCCCTCCCCCGTCCGTTCCGCCAGTCAGCGCTGGAGGATCGGAGCGGGGAGGGGGGAATCCAGCCCCTCCCCTGTCACGGCAGAAAGCTGTGACAGGATCGAGAGGTGAGCGAATACCTTTTTTTATACGGAATGTTACCAGTAAATAAAAAAGATCAATGGGGCCGCCCAGCAATAGCTGCCTGCATTGTGCAGGACCGCGCGATCCTGGGACACGCAGATCTGCACTGGGCCTGAGAGCTCTGCTTTCTACCTACGTCTTTTGCCGCTGCCTTCAATGTGTGCAGATTTATCTTGGAATGCTGCATTGTAAAGTAGAGCAAACTTTAAAGGTTCGTTCACACTATCAGCAGTGCGCTACGGTCCGATTCCGGCCCGCAACGCACTGCCCGCATTGCGGCCGGCTCCCTTTTTTTCTCGGCAGGAGGGGGCGTGGCGGGTCGTTGAAGTGAATGGCACACTAGCCACGCCCTGCGGCCGCAATGCGTTCCGTGCGATCAAAGCACTATCGGACCAAAACGCACTGCTGATGGTGTGAACGAACCCTAAAAGGGGAGAGAGGCACAACATTTGTTAAATATAAATTTCTCTGGTCCACTGCAACTAGCAGAAAGCAGCGTTCTTGGGGTGAAGTATTGCACTGCCAAAAAACTGGGACAATAGAACAGGTGGACGGTCCTGATTGCATGTTCGCTGAATACAAAGTATCCATTCCATTTAAAGGGCACTTATTTTGTAAATTGTTCCTCTTTTTTTGTTCACGGCTTTCGCTCTGCAGCAGTTTTTGTGTAGTACAGTCCGGGCCAAGAGCACATCAGCGGCACAGGAGCGCTTCCATGTGACAATGATACAGATGGAGATTGATGTGGCTACCGGTCTGTGAAAGGCTGACAATATGGAAGCCAGGCGGGAGTCACATGGTCGGGTCACGGGTGATCATGCCCCCCCCCGCAGACAGCTCCATTCACTGGATTTACAGCAGTAATTACCAGTGCAGACAGAGGCCAGGGACAGGTGCTCGCTCTATTTACAAGTGTATACATTTCAAGCGTTAAAAGACGAGCGGCAGTCTGCACGGCGGCAGCGAGGACAAAAAAAAACAAAAAACAACGCAATATTCTTTGGTGTAAAGAACGGGGAGTTGGCCTATTAACAGGTGAGAACAAATAGTGATTTATCCCCCTTACGAGGTGTCACAGAATTTATTGCTTTCCACTGCTGGAGGATCCATTCAATGGAAATGGGCGACATGTGCAAATCTCTGCACACCATTTACAATAAAAGGACATTGTTAGCTATTTGCATCTGATACGAATAATGTGCGTCCAGGAGGAGAGCTGTATGCAAATGGAGGCAAGAATTTGGATTTTTTTTTTGTTGCTAAAAATACAGATTTAAAGGGAAACTCCGGTATAATTTTGAGTCGTAATATTCATTAGAGGTCATTTGTTTATGTGACTTTTCCCTAAAGGAGAACTGAGTGATTTCCACTCACCTCATAGTTCTAGCCGACCTGTGACAATGAGACTGTCACAGGTCGGCTCAGTAGATCGGGAGGTGTGCGAACACATACCGGCGTTCGCTCACCTCTCGATCCTGTCACGGCTCTCTGCGGTGACAGGGGAGGGGCTGGATTCCCCCCTCCCCGCTCCGATCCTCCAGCGCTGACTGGCGGAACGGACGGGGGAGGGGGCGGGTACAGCTGGCTGTGCCTCTAGATAGGAGGAGCCAGCTGTCACTCACGCAGCTGGGCGGATCTCGACAGCGATGTCGGGATCCGCTCCGGCTGCCGTGTCTCAGTATACCGCGAGCTGTAGCTCTCTATATACTGAGCCTAGGATGATGGGAGGACGCTAGTTTGTGTCCTCCCGTTACCCTAAGGAGAACTATGGGGAAAAGCCCTGACCCCATAGTTCTCCTTTAAAGGAGACTATGGGGTTAGGGCATAACCAATGATACCCACAATCCCTTACTCACAGACTGATGACACCCACAGTGCACCATTCTTGAGTTGAGGACCCAACTCTTGCACGTGGTCCTCCAGACATGCAATCCCTGTCCTTTATCTGATTACATCTGTGAACCCTTCCTTGTGGCCAGAGACACTTGGGGTGCCTGGGAACATGTGGGCCCCCCTTGTACTAAAACACTTTTGGACCCCAAACCCCTTCAGGCATATCTAGTGTAAAATGACTACATTTCCCTTTAACTTGTTGGTGACTACAGACTGAGAGGGTTATTCACGACGGAGCCGAAGGATCAAGCTGAAGCATCGGCTAATCCTTCGGCTCACTTCGGCCACCCCAGCCCTTCTGTTCAGCTGCGCCAAAGGGCTACTGTACGGGCTAGTCACAATATTCACAATAACCCGTATAGCAGCCGAAGGCCTCAGCCGAGCCGAATCCATATATGCTTTGGCCCGGCTGGGCCGAAGTCACGGCCGAAGCGGGGAGAACGGTCTGCCGGATCACACCGTTCTCCCCGCGAATGTAAACAACTAGGCGGAGCTAGCGGTGACATCACTGCTGGCTCCGCCTATTTGTTATCGTGCAATGACAAGCTACTGGCCTCAGGTCATTTGAAGACAGTAGCCTATCACTCTATGACAACAAATAGGCAGAGTCGGCGGTGATGTCACTTAGCATGTTCGTCTGACCGAAGCCAGCCAATGTACAAGTGATTATAGCCAATGTACGGCTGATTATAGCCAATGTACGGCTGATTATAGCCAATGTACGGCTGATTATAGCCAATGTACGGCTGATTATAGCCAATGTACGGCTGATTATAGCCAATGTACGGCTGATTATAGCCAATGTACGGCTGATTATAGCCAATGTACGGCTGATTATAGCCAATGTACGGCTGATTATAGCCAATGTACGGCTGATTATAGCCAATGTACGGCTGATTATAGCCGATGTACGGCTGAAATCAGCCGTACAAGGATGAAGTGAATAGCCCAATGGTGTTCAACTCACTTCACTTCGGCTCGGATATTCGCTCGGCTGCCTTCGGCTGCACAGTAAATAACCCCCTAAGGCAGGGGTAGCAAACCTCCGGCCCTCCAGCTGTGGTGAAACTACAAATCCCACGATGCATCTCTCTTCGGGAGTCATGTCTGCGGCTGCGAGAATCTTGCAATGCCTCGTGGGATTTGTAGTTCCACCACAGCCGGAGGGGCGGAGGTGTGCTACACCTGCCCTAAGGTAACAGAACACATACAGAGGTACGGCAGAGAACGTTCTGCTGTACAATCACACCACAGATGTTGCAATCCTCTCAGATCAAATGAAACATTTTCCAACTTACCCGATCCCTGCTCCATACAAGCTCATCCAATATTTGGATTTTATGTCACTTTGATCACGTTCAGAAATCCTAATGTAAGGTGTGTCCTGTCTACAATTTCCCCCCTCCAGGCGATGCTACCACCAGCTGCTGCAGCACATTTCACCTCACTTC